TTGTTGTTTTTTTTGTTTTTTGTTTTTTTTTCTTTCTTTTAAAACATGTGTGTCTCTGCCTCTTGGGTCCAGACGAGTGCGAGGTTGCGTCTGATTGTGAGTCTGTCCTGAAGGTCGGGTACCAAGGTGTGGACGTCGACGCAGTCGGCATCCCGCATGGCGAATTCTGGGCCGAAATTTGCAACAGGCGTCGCGACCTAGGCACCAACCTTGTACGAGTCAGGAAGGTGCCAGCGCACAAGAGCTGGCCAGCGCTGGCAGGCACTGAGGTCCCATTTTGGGCCTGGAGAGGGAACAGGGTCGCGGACCTGGCCGCCAAGAGGGCTGCTGCCGAGATTCCGCACCCCCAGTGCCTGTTTGAGAGCTTCTGTCAGCATAAAGAGAGCATAGTCGCCCTCGGCAGGTTCACAGCGTCCATGCTGGAACCTGTGTGCAGCCCGTCCATACGGGACACTACTAAGTGGTTGCCCGCAGGTGCACGCCGAGCAGCGGCCTTGTGTTGGTTCCTGGGCCCCGTGGTCACATTATCCTAAGATGGGGTAAGAGCTATCTGTGCGCCAGGTGCATGGATACAGGTCGGGCGTATTCCTCCCTGGCCAGCTACAGGTGCCAGGGATGGCCGCGTGTGGCGCGCAGCGCCCACCCGTCCCACAGACTGTGGGCAGGGGATCCTGGCTCTCCCCTCCCCATCGTCTGGTGCTCGAGTTGCGGAGCGTTTGCGAGGCAGCGCATGCACTTGTTACTGGCCCCGTGTCTGGGGCGGCCACGTAACGATGCAGCGGCGCAGTCTCTTGCTTGTCTCAAGGAAGGCCGCGACCCGAGTGCCAGACGACATCTGTTTGGGCGCAGCACGCGGCTGTATGGACGGCAAGCCGTGTAGCTGGTGCCCTCTCCTCCTCCTTCCCCCTTTTTTGCTGAAGGTTCTGCTCTCTGTGGACTGCGGATCCTTCGGTGCAAACTGGAAACTGGAAAGGAGGAGGAGGAGAAGAAGGAGGAAAAGGAAATGGAGAGATAAGGATGGGTAGGAAGAGGAGGACGAGGAGGAGGAGGAGCAGGAGGAGGAGGAGGAGGAGGAGGAGGAGGAGGAGGAGGAGGAGGACGAAGAGGAGGAGGAGGAGGAGGAGGAGGAGGAGGAGGAGGAGGAGGAGGAGGAGGAGGAGGAGGAGGAGGAGGAGGAGGAGGAGGAGAGGAGGAGGAGGAGGAGGAGGTGGAGGAGGAAGTGCTGTTTAACGATGCAGGGCGCTCCGCGCTAACACTGCCAGGCAGTCTCGGATGCAAAGCAAAGGGGGATACGCTAAGGGGGACGCATCGACCCCCAATCGCCCTCTCATCCCCGACATGGGGCTCGATGGCCCACTCGCCCAGGAACGTGCGGTTTTGGTATCGGGGGCCAGCTGCCGATTTATAAGCGATGTATCGCCGATTCCAAAGCGATGTTCCCCCCAGCTCCACCTGAGCTGGCCCGGTGGTTCCATGGAGGGCCGGTTGATTTTTAGTGTGAAGACGACTCGCCACCGCGAATGCGGAGTTGAGGCATGACGCCCGAGTGATGCAGACGGGTGTTCTAATCCCACTGCGCTCTCGCCGACATTGTCTTTTCTCGATCTGTCTTACATGAGTCGGCGGCTCCTTAGCAGCCTAGCCTAGGCTGAGCTGCTGACGCTTGACTTCGCCTTGTGGGTTGTGCTGCGCCCAGAAAAAATCAGCGCAGGCCTGACGCACGCTCGTAGGTAGCTGTGCGAATCGTGGGGTCGAGCTAGACGTGATGAGCAGAAGGGGGGGAGGGAGGGGGCAAATCCTCTTCGTCAGCCTCCTACAGCGTGCGCCTGAGGACTCACAATGGCAATTCGGGAGCGAATGGGGCTCAAGCGACAAGGTTTCTTCGTCAACCCATAGTGTCCCTCGCGAGCGCACCCTTCCCCACCGCACCTCTTTGGCTAAAACTATTGACCCTTCGCTTATCCCCACCAACTTTCTTCTTGGCCGGCACTTGTGCTGCGCCGTTAATTATTTGCCTTCCCGTGCGCTGTGTCCCAGCCTCGTTCACACCGCCCTCTGGACTTTTCCTTGCGGGCCGCGAATCAAAAAAAGTATCCCCACCAGCCTTGAGTTTGGACGCCTTCAGACCCGCTTCGCGAGGCCGCTGACCAAAAAGTATCCCCACCAGCCCACAGCCTGGCCGTGTCTGCCGCTGCTGCCGGCATGGTGGGACGCAGCCCTACTGGATTGTTCAGGAGTGGTTCAGCCGTCTTGGTCAGCCATGAGTGTTCGTCCCTGTTGGTCTGCAGCCTAGCACGTTGGACTGCTTGTGCAGCCCCGCGCTTCGCCACGTATGGTGGCGCGTCTACCTCTGGCGCCTGGTGCGACAAGGTTCAATTCGTCCTCTTCCCGGTGGTCTCGCTTCTGGGATGCCCGCACGCTGGCCGCCTGGCGCTCCTGGCAGCTTTCGCAGCCTGCCTTCAGCCCCCGGCGTCCCTCAGCCTCCCTCGGCGGCAGCCTCGGCAGCCGTGAGTGCGTTCGCTGGGCAATGGGGCTTCGCCCGTAGCCCGGTTTGACCTCTGACGCCGCATGCTCCTTCGCTTGCGGCTGCGACGAAAGAGTATCCCCACCAGCCCATCCAGAAACAGATCGCCAGGCGAACTACTTTGATCAGGGAAGTGTAGAAGCATGCAGTTCAACAGCCGCCTTAGAAGTGTTTCCTTGGAGATGTCTGGGAGCCATCTTGGGTCTCTCTTGGGGTCCTCGCGGAGCCACTTGGGGCACTCTTGGGGCCCTCTTGGGGCTCTTTTGGGGGGTCTAGGGGCCTTGTTGGGGCTTTTTAGGTGGGCCTGGGAGACCTCTCGGGGCCATCTTGGCCCCCGAGGCTCAAAAGTAGAGGGGTAACGGATTCAGGCCCCCCCATTTGGGAGGTTTAGAAATGTCGTCGTGAGGCTTTTTGGAGCCGTTCTTGCAGCGCTCTTGGGCGCTCTTGAGGCCGTCTTGGAGCCCTCTTTGGTCCCGATTGGGGCTCCCTGGGGCCATCCTGGGGCCATTTCGGGGCCTCTTAGGCCCGTCGGACACAATAAAGCGAGACGACAACAGTCAGCAATTGTCCTTAAAGTTTAGAGCCATTTTGGCCTCTTGGGGGGGTCCTTGGAGGGCTCGGGGGGGCCTCTTGAATATGCGTCGGCGGCTATCTTGAGCCATTTTGTTGAGCCATCTTGGAGGCCATCTTGGGGTCTCTGAGGCCCTCCTGGAGCCATATTGGACGATCTTGGGCGCTCTGACCGATCGCGCCTCCCTCCTCCCATGTCCAGGGTAGGGGGTAGGGGGCGGGGTCAAGCTACCCACCCGCCCGCAAGCCGTCTAGCTCACTCCCACCCGCCCTCCCTACACATAAGTAACACCCGATCATGTTCAACGGTCGTCTTTGAATGGGCAGCGACTGCGAACCAAAGCCGACCACCCCAGGTGCGCGACGCTTGGGCGAGGTGCGCCACGCGTGCCAGAGGCACCACGCGCGCCAGGCGACCCTGGGGCCCGAGCGTGCCAGGCACGCCTGGTGCGCCAGATGCGCCACGTGCTCCGAGTGCGCCAGGTGTGCCGCACACTCCAGCCGCGCCAGGTGCGTTGCGTTCGGGGCACGTGCAGAGTGCGTCAGGTGCGCCTGCGTTCGTGACAGCACAAATCGGGAAACATGTTGGCCCCCGCCATCCTTGTCGAACACCGATGCCCATCATTGTGTCTGGTGGGCCTGCGCACAGCAGGCCACGCGCCATCACCCCCGCGGTCCCTGTCAAAAACCACTTGGCAGTGATCGCGGGATGGCCGCGCATGGTCCAGATTTAGCCGCGAGGTGCATGTTTTTTGTTGTCAGGGATGGTCGCCCTGCGCACAGCAGGGAATATGCTGACACCCCCGCCATCCTTGTCAAAACCAATGTAAAGTGCCCGCGGGCCTCACGAACATGACTCGAAACTTTGCCCCAAAGTGTACTTGTCATTGTTTGTTTGACAGGGATGGTTGGGGGGTCCGCATCGGGTTGGCTACGCATGCTCCGAATTTGGAGGCAGAGTGCGGTTTATATTGTTTTGTATTGGGATGGTGGGGGGGCGGCTGGGCATGGTGTCGGCATGGGGTCGGGTTTGCCCCCGTTCGCCTGGGGGAGGTGGTGTATACTAATAAGGAACAGTGATCAAGACACCCTTCTTGATAGCACGCCGTCTATCCGAATTTAGTAGCAGAGTGGGGTTTGTACTGTTTTTGGACAGGGATGATTGAGGGTGGGGATCATTGGGTCGGCATTGTTCCTGGTTGGCTGCCGCTCGCTTGTGGAGGGGGTGTATGTTAATAGGGAGCAGTGATCAAACCCTCTCCCAAGCAGGGGAAGGATGGATATTCATGGAATATCAAACTCGTTTAGCCACCTACGCCCAAAGGGCTGGTGGGGTTCTTGCACGTCACGCGTGCGTCTGAGTGCACCCGTGTCACATGTGATGCAGCCGTTCGAATGCCAACATCGAAGTAAAATGCGAGTGAGTGTTCCCAATGCATGCGTGATGCTGGTATCTTCTTCACTGCACGAGGGCAGCAAGGGCAGCAGAGGCGATACATACCATCTGGAAACAGCCTCGGGGCCGTCTAGGGATCTTGTTGATATTCGGTTCACCTTGCGCCATCTCGCGCCAGCTTGGAGGCAATCTCGGCCTACCCCAGACCATCACGCTGCAATCTTGGATTATCTCGGGCCTTCTGGCCCCCTTGCGGACTCCCGTCCAGACCTCTGGGAGGGCATGGGAGAATGGATCAGCCAGGCATTGAGGTTCATGGTCGGGCCAGGAATGCGGCGTATGCAGCGGTGGTTCGACATCAGTCAAACATGCTTACACCATGTGTGCGTCGCCCCCCAGGGGGACGACGCGCGCGCGCTCAGAAATCTTGGAGGACGTGCTCCGTGGCGGGCGCTTTCTGACCATACCTCCTGGGCAGCGATGTGCTATGCGATGCTTTTGCTACGTCTTCGATGGGGACCCGCTCCTCCAGGGGAGGCGCATCGTACTGGTATGCCTTCCTGTGCCCCCGTGGTGGGCCCTGTGCGTGTGTGGCTCTTCCAGGACCGGCGCGGGCGACTTGGCCAGCTCGTGTCCTCCCGTGCCAGGGCAGACGTTTGACCTTCTCGCAATGGGCCGCACCTCGCCCCTCAAAGAGGTTGGCTTACGCCGCGCCTTCGCGGGGGGCGCTGGGCCAGACGCGGCCGCTCTCTCGGGCAGATCGCTCCCGAGATCGGGGTTGGCCCTCCTCCTCCTCCTCCTGTCCCCGAATATCTCTCGCGAGCGCTCCCAGAAGATCTGGGCAGGTTCAGGCAAATCTGCCCCCGCCCATCCGAATCCCCCCCCTGCAAGCGTTCAGTCTCATTTGGGACGGGGCTCAGACGAGGAGAATCCGTTGCAGAGCGTTTGTGGACGCTGTCACAGCGTTCCTGAACGCTCTGAGAAGGCCGCGGCGCCCCAGACATCCTCTAGAGCCGCTGGATCTCAGAGATTCTCGATTTATCTTCACCCGAATTTATCCTTGTCCTGGCTTCGTCTTCTCCCCCCCCCCATGCGAGCGTTCAGTCTCATCTGCTCCCTGCTTGCCCTCCTTTCCTTCTCGCCGGAGAGGGGTGGCCGAGTTGTGTAGCAGGGTCGGCAACATTATGGTCCCTTTCGGGGGCCTTCTTCCCCCCCATCGCGGGAGGAGCAGGAGGAGGCCCAAAACCGTCGCTCCCACTCCTGGCTCGTAGCAGTTGCGAGCCAGACAGAGTCGATCTCCCTACCCCTGCTTCCTTTCCGCTCCTCTCAGCCCGCGTATGGGGGTGTCCCTGGGGAGGGGTGTCTGGTCCCGATTCGGGCCATTGCACGCTGCTCCCCCCCCATTCTTTTTGGGGGTGGCAAAGACGGGGGTGATTACTAGAGGGGGGGGATATCATGGCGAGGGCCATGACATTTCCCCAGATTTCATGGCGCCTCTTCTTGTTTCAGTACGTCCTCGCCTCCCCCCCTGGGCCGCGCACATGCCGCCTGCCATGATCTGCGCCCCCCCCTCCCTCTTGGACGCACCCCTCCTGGCCGCCCCCGAATTCTCGGCCCTCTCGGCATCACCCAAGCATGTTTGCGTCGGCGCTTTCTGGCCACACCACCTGCATGAGCACACACTGCTCATTTCTGATTCTTCGAAAGTTCTTGGATTTTTGTTGGGGGCCAAGATCCTTTCATTTCTAATTCTTCTATCCTGGGCCTCGTCCTGGCCACTAGGGGGCGAGGAACAATTAGAAACGAACACAATTAGAACTGAGCACGATTAGACATGAACGACGTGTATACACTGTGATACATTTGTGATTGCTCTATGTTCGATTTGGACGTGCGCCTTCAAGAAGGGCGCGCAGTACTGGGATGTCCTTCTGCGTCCCGTCGCCCTCGCCCCTCGACCCCCTCGGTGCCCTCCGCGCAGGTCGCTGCGCGGGCGGCTGGTCCGTCGTCGAGAGGCCGGGTACGGATAGACCGCGCGGTTGCCCGCGGCGGCTGTGGCTGTCGCTTGCCGTGGGCGCTTGGTGCCTGTGCTGCAGAGATCCTGAACTGGAGGCGGTGAGCAGAGGGGGCGAGGTTCAGAGGTGGACGAGATACCGATCCTGCCATCGTCGCAGCCGATGGAATTGCCTCGAAGTCCTGGTCAGGACGCACCATGGGAGAGGCCCGGGGATTTCGCTATCTTTCCTGTCCCCCCCAAGAGATGGAACAGGGGCGGGGCAGAGCAGGACGTGGAGGACGAGGAGGAGCAGGAGGCCCTGGAGTCCGATCGACGTCAAGAAAGGAGCAGGGGGACGACGAGGGGAAGCCTCGATGCAGGGTGCCCTGGCCTGGCAGGCGTCGACCGCGGCCCCCCCGGTGGGCTCTGCCCCCGACCCCCGCCGCAAGCCTGCCGCCGCGCCCAGCCCTCGCCACCGCCGCGTCCTCGCCGCGGGCCCCGCCGCGGTGCCGGCTTGCCTGCCCGCCCGGTGTCCCGCCTGCCTCTCCGCCTGCCCTCCATGCAGCCTCCTCGCAGCACGCGAGCGCCACGGCACGCCCGCGGGCGCCCACTCTGTGCGCCCGCGAGCACCACAGCAGCTCGCAGACGCCCAGCGCGCCGGAGAGCACCACGCTGCGCCGGATGGGGCGGGCGGGGCCGACGGAACATGGAAGGGAGAGCGCGGCAGACGGCAAAGCCCAAAGCTGCTCAGCATCGAGTGGAGCAACCACCTCTCCCTGACTGGACCCATCCTGCTCCTCACGCCTCGCCTCCGCCTCCTGGCGGCGGGCGGACGCCTGCACCCGGGAGCCGCCCGAGCCCGCACCGGAACCGCCGCCTGGCCCCCCTGCGCGACCCGGGCGGCCCCCGAGGAAACGCGGCCCGATCGATCGACCTCGCGGCGGCCTGTCGCCGCGCGAGAGCGGGAGCAGCACGAGTCGTGGGGGCGGGCGCTCCGACTCTCCGAGACTCCAGCCCTCGAACCGCACGAAGCACCTGGGAAACCGTCTCGGCGGAGGCCTCTTCCGCTGCCGGCAGAGGCCCGCGCCCGCCTGGCGCCCGCGGCATTCGTTGCCGGATTCACGGGTGCCCCCCCGCGCACACGCCCCGCAATGCATGCAAGGTGTTCGCCAGCGTGGACCCTAACAGTGTGTTATAGCATGCTACATGCTGCAATTCATGTGGTGCACGCTATGTGGTACCAGCGACTTGGGGCAAGGTATCTACATATATATATATATATGGTGCAAGCTGTGAGGTGCAAGCTACGCGATGCAATCTATGTAGTGCAAACTACGTGGTGCAATCTATAAGGTGCAACTCATGTGGTGTCCATTACGCGAGGCAAGCTATGTAGTGCAATCTACGTGAAGCAATCGATGTGTGTCGCAATCTATCCATTGCCATACATGTGGTGCAATCTGCGTGTTGAAATCTGCTTGGTGCAATCTACGTTGCGCACCATATCATTCATTTCGTGCAAACTACGCGGTGCCATCTAACTACGCGGTGCCATCTAGGTGGTGCAATGAATGCGGTGCGAGCTACGTGCTGCAACTTCCGCGGCGCAGTTAGTTTTAAAGAACTTGGAGTTGTAAGCCCGACTGCTCGCGCAATCATTCCGCCCTCCGACCCGCAGCTTGGTTTGCAAAACGCGGCGGCGATCGCGATGACTGCTTGGCCATGACTGTCGCATATCTGCGAGCGCGCTGGCGCACGCAAGCTCGCGTGCAGAGCGCCCAGCTAGCTTGGCGCAGCCGACGCGGCCCTGGTGGCGTTGACCGGCGGGGACTCCCCAGCGCGTCTCACAGGCCGCGCTGGCGCGCGGACATTTCAGCGCGGGTCGGTGACTCGGGCGGGCGCGGTATCATGATGACGCGACAGCGGCGGAAACGATGATTAAGCAGGCGTGGCGGCGACGATGATGACGATGACGACGGCAGTACCGATGGGGGGGCCGACGCTGGCCACGCCGATGACGATGACGATGACGATGGCCAGGCGCCGCTGAGGAGGGTGCTGGAAGGATTTGCGCATGCGCGCCCGGCCGACGCGCGCGAGTGGCCCGCATGGTATTGTTTGACATGGATCGCCCTCCCCCCTCCCGAGCAAGCGCGCAGGGGCGTGCGAATAGTTCCGACATGCGCGCGCGGGGGGCGCGCGCGGCTTCCTTTGGCGACAGTGCTGAACACATAAGTTGTTCTTACGCATTTGCCAAAGCGCGCAACTGCTTGATGCACGTTTTGTGAAAACCATGTGTTTTTGCTATAGGTTTTCGGAAGCATCGATGTTGAAACCAATACTAAGCCTTGGGCTCGACCACGTGCGCGCGTGGGCTCTGCCCCATTTTTGGAAAACGGGGTTCTTGAACAAATTATGTTTGGATAACCGAGTGCGCGCGCATAAGATTATTCGACGGAGATGAGGGGGACGACAAGGGCATTCCCTGAGATGGTATGACATCATACGCAGAATGAACTTCGAGGCAGAATCATATGCAATTTGGAATGTCCCTGGGGGTCGGGTGAATGCGGCCTCGGGAGGGTGGCAGAGATTCATTTCAAGCAATCTGTGTGGCACAGTCCATGTGGTGCAATCTTCGTGGTGCAAGCTACCTGGCGCACTGTATGCGGTGCACTACGTGGTGCAACAAGCGTGTCGCAAAACAACGCAACGCAATGCGATTGCAATGCGGTCCCGGGTGCAAGGCAACGCGATTGCAAGTCAACGGGGAGGGGGCGCAACAGAACGGCCGCGATGGGCTCGGACGGGCGGCAACGAGGCGGCGATGAGGCGGCGACGGGCAGCGACGGGGCGGCCAGACCGACAACCAGGCCCAGGCGACGGGCGGCGACGAGGAGGCGACGAGGTGGCGACGGGCGGCTGCATGGCGGCCTGCTGGTGGCGCTGTTGCTGGCCTCCCCGCCCTTCGGCTGTCCCACGCCCAGCTTTGGCCTGGATATGGGGGCGCCGCCAGCGGGGGAGCGAGCTTGCAGCCACAGCCCCAGCACTTCTGCCTCTCCGCCAAGCCCCACCTGTGTCCACACGCCTCGTGCGCAGAGCAGCCCTTTTGCGCGCCTCGGGGGTCCACTGCCGCCCGGAGGCGAGAATAATGACCGCCTCGAACGCGGGGGCTCTTGCGAGCTACGGGCGCGGGAGTTTTGTTTTAGTGTCTGGCCCAATCGGGACCCCTCGTGTTCGGAACGCCCCTGAGCGACCTGCGGTCGTCGGCGGCCGCATGACCTTGAGCCTGAGCTCAATTGGCTACCGATGGCAGTTTGTCTCCAAGTCGGCTTGCCTCGGGGTCTCTTATTGGTTTGCGAAGGAGGCCCGTGCTTTTCAGAGGCGGCGCTCCGTGGTACCAGGGCTCCTGGGTTTTGGTTCGTGGCCGGGCGTTGCTCGACGTTGCTCGGGCTCCCTGGGCTTGGGCCCTTCAAGTAGGAGATGCACTATAGAATTGATTTACCCGAAACTT